CCAGGTATGACAAGTAGAATTCCATTTAAACAAATACCACATTAATGCCCAATTCTACAGAAACTGGTACCACCACCCCAGCTGAATAACTCACTTTAGCACTGCTTTGCTGATACAGATAGAACAAATTTTGTTGTCAGAGAAAGAAATCTTCTAGCCCTGGTAATTCACAGCCCTCCTTTTCCATCTTAACAAATATACTGTTCCCTGTTTGGATGTTTTTGGCTCTCTGACCTTCTTATCTCTTCCTGTGAGTCCCGTTCCAGTACTATCTAATCTGTCCCCCTACCCTTTGAGACTAAATGAGTTTTACTTTAGATTTCTGGCCACACCTTTTCCCCCTTCTGAATATATTAAATGATGAATAAGCATTGATTAAGTGCCAAGTCCTTCTTACCTAGCCAGACAGGCTTTACTCATTTATTTAACAAATCTTTATTGTGCCCTTAAACATAAAAAAGTTAGATCCCTGCCCTCCCAAGAGCAAAATTTCCTTCTTTTCTTTTAAGACTGGATTTCCCCATCTCACCCGAGCTTGAAAGCTACTCACAACCCAGATCCCACTACTGACTGGCATTTTGACGTTCCCCCTTCTTTTGACATGAGCCAGCTCAGGGTCCTTAGGCAACTTGAAGGCCCTGTGCTCCTGAGGGCTCACCATATTGATGCTAACCTTAGTGTAAGGACACCTGATGAGCACAGAGCCCAGCCACAGGTGGAGGCTACCACACCTGGCTAATGTACTTATTTCTATTGAGGGAAGCACCCAGGTTTATAACCTTGAGGTCATCTTTGACTCTTTACTCTGCCTTACCTCATATACAATCAGCTACTCCCATTAGAAGCAACGGGCGACAAAGTAGATAGAGTGCTGGGCCTGGAGTCAGGAAGACCAGAAGTCAAATCCAACCTCAGACACTCAATGACTGTGGGCAAATCACTAAATCTCTCTTTGCCTCAGTTTCCTCAACTGCAAAATGGAGGTAATAACAGCACCTACCCCCAAGGTTGTTGTGAGAATCAAATGAGATAATATTTGTAAACGCGCCTCGCACTGTGCCTGGCATGTAGTAAGTGCTACATAAATGCTTATTTCCTCCTTCTCCTCCCTTCCCATCCATCTTGCCAATTCTACTCCCAATTATCTCCCTAGAGTTTCCCCTCTCTTAATTCACAAGGCTATGCAGGCATTCTTAATTAATCTCCTAGGTTTTCTCCCTCTCCTATTAACCAACAAACATTTATTAAGAGCCTACTACGTACTGGGCACTATAGATACAAGTACTCCCAAAGAGCTTGCATTCCAACTGGAATACAAAAAAGTCTACACCACAAGTGTAAAGTGAATAAACACAAACATATATAAAGTAGTTTGACACAAGATAGTTCAGGAGGAAGGACATCAACAATTACAGGGATCAGGAAAGACCACATGCAGAAGAGACTGGTCTGGTTTTGAGGGGGACAGGTAAAGAAGAGATCATTCCAGGCTCCCAGGTGCCAAAATAAAATTCCTAAAGAACTGGTCAATTGAGCTCAAGGAAAGAGACATTAGGCACTGGAGATACAAAACCAACAGGGCAGCCTGGTGGCACAATGGATAGAGTGGGTCTTGAGTCAGGAAGATATGGCTGTGTCACGCTGGGCAAGTCACTTAACCTTGTTTGCCTCGGTTTCCTCTTCTGTAAAATGACCTGGAGAAAGAACTGGCAAACCACTCCAGTAATATCTTCTCCAAGAAAATCCCAAATGGAGTCCCAAAGAGTTGGACACAACTAAAACAAGCGAACAACAAAAGTACGATGCCAAAACGCAGGACAGTTCCTTCCCTGTTGTTATACTTAGCGGATTCAACATTCAAGTCAATAACTACAATTATATATAACTTCAGGAGGAAGACAGTCCTAAAAAGCCAAGTCAACAAGCACGTATAATTGCTGATTCTATCATTCCTTCACTCAAAAACCCTTAGTGGCTTTCTATTGCCTCTGAGATAAAATACAAATCCCTCACCCAGGTACTCAAAGTCCTTCCCAATCTGGCTTCATCTTGGACTTGGTCTGGAGTCCATCTCCCTCCCCCAGTCACTGAAAGACGCCATGCCCCTGACATAGCATGCCTTCCCTCCTCCTCTCACCCTTTCAGAATGCTCATCCTCCCTTTGAGGCTCAGGTCAGGGGCAAAGGCTCTCTCTGATCCCCCAGTGTAACCACCTCTCCTTCCTCCATTCCCTAATTCTCACTTAACTCAGTAAGTTCAGTACCCTACCCACCCGGTAGAATGTAAACTCCTGGAGGGCAGGACTTTCATCCTAGTTTCCAGAGTGTTTTGCATACAGGCAGGGCTTAATAATCATGTGCTGAATTACTAAAGAACCAGTATTTTTTTTCAGATGTCATCCTTCTGCATCATAAGCAAAGCTCTGCCTGGGATATAGCAAACACCTAATAAATACTTTATGATTGAGAAAACTAGTCCTTGTCCCCAGAGCTGTAACTAAGAATTCTAACGCCTGGAGCAAATTCATGGGGGTGAGGTGAACAGGGGCAGAACTGGGGAGAAATCCTGGATCCTAAAACATAAAGATATGGAAAGCCCCCTGGACCCAAGCTGCTGGGAAGGCTATCAAGGGAGGAAGCAAGGTGGGATGGGTTTTGGAATACAAGAAGGCCTAGGGTCCTGGCTAGGAAACCCTCACGAAAGGTGTGACTCAGGCCACTCCACTACAGGATGGTGCATCTTGGCTGGATAGAGTCATCCTGGGAACCCTCCAGAGTTTAGACTCATAAATAAGCCCCCTCCACCTCCTCAAAGACCCGGATCACAGACCTTCCCAACTCTTTAGAAGAACTCCAGAGGGGAGGAGCCCTAAGGGTGCCAAGCCGATGCACTGGAAGAAGGGGGGAGGGAAGTCTGCTGTGCTGCTTCCTGGAATGCCCTTCACCCTAGTAAGGACATTATCGCAGTAACATGATTAAAAACTCAATGTGGGGGGAAAATTCCCACTCCACTTCCCGGGGACCTCCACCATGACTTCAGCAGATACAAAGGAGGTGAATAAAAAGATGCCTGATCATATTTACCTGCTTAAATATCACATCTCTCTCTCATAGGATATTCAAGCATCGGGACTAAGTCACTTTTTTGTCTTTGTGGGCCTGGCACCTACAACAGCGAGGGGCTTAATAAATGCTTGTGGAACCAAACAATTCTGGCCGTGACTGTACTAGGCTTTACTACACAGGAGAGCATCATCTATCACCTTACTCCCCCCGACCTTGGCTCTGGGGCAAGCCTTGTTTTTTTCCTACGAAGCATCATTGGACATTTAGGAAGGGGGAGAGGCATAGACACAAAAGTACTCAAGAATAAGCCTCAAAGCTTCCATCTGCTTTCTCCCCAGTCCACAGCTCAAGGCTTTTTGGTTTGGTTTGGTTTTTTAAACAGCTTTGGGTCAGTAACAGATCTGGTGAGCAGTACAGGAACCAAACCTGTACTCTCTCTCTCAGGCAGTAATGGGAGCCAATTATCCTGAAGAATGATTAAATGAATTCAATTTCAAGCCAATAGCTAGGGACCCACAATGAACACAGGCAAAGAACCTCCCCGGTATTTCCTCTAAACAGCGAGTTATTGTTTTCAAACAAGTTCAGACACCTAAGGATCTGAACGCTGGAGCTGATGGACGGCTTTCGAGAACACTTTTGCATACCTGTCTTCTCCCCTTTGCTGGGCGGAAGCGGGACCCAGAACCCCTCGGCAATTAATGTGATGGGGAAGGACAGAGAGTGGGAGAAGGGGAGGTGGAGGGGAAGGGCACTACGGGTGACACCATACCCCAGCAAGAGCTGCCCTAGCATCTAACCCCAAGGGGAAAGGGAAAAGAGAAGCTTCTCCCTGCCTTCCCCAAGGAAGCTGCAGCTGCCACCAGGGATTTTTCTTTCTTTTCATTTTCAAGAGTGAAAAGTAAACCTCCCACAAGCATAATAATGATACTCCTAATAATAGCTTCCACAGATAGAATGCTTCAAGGTTTGCAAAGCACTTTGCATAGCTTACTTATCTCATTCGATCCTTACAACTACCCTGGGAGGAGGGCTAGAATTATCCCCACTTTACAGATGGGGACACTGAGGCCGGAAGAGGCAAAGGGACTTGCTCAGACAAGGTCACACAGCTAATAAAGAGTCTGAGCCAGGAAAAGAACTCGTGTTCCTGACTCCAAGTCAGGCACTCTATGCCCTTCGCCACCAAAGGTCTCTAACGATCGAACCTAATAAGGCCAAGTGTGCAAGAAAACAGGAATGCAAGGAGAAGGAAATGAGCCCTATCTGAAAGCAACTTCAAACGGGAAGAGAAGTGTACATTAAATAAAAAAGCACATAAATAAACTGATAAAAATAAAGCGAATCTTCACAAAGCAGTCACGCTGAAGGCAGTGGCGGGGGATCAGATGAGGATTCATGCAGCACCTGGTGCGGCGGCTCCTATTACAGCAAGAATGGGACCCCCCAAAAAAAAGGGGGGCCAGAGGGAAGAAAAGGAGCTGGAGAACAGAGGGAAGGGCTCTTGGATGAAAGGAGAAGGGCACCGGACAGACGCTCCGAACCAAGCGCGGCGCTTTACACATTAAGAACGGAGGCTCCCAGCGGGGGGGACTCGAGGGGGGAAGGGACTTCGAGTAAGAGCAGCCAAGTACTCCCAGTCCAAATGGGGAGGGGGCAGAAAGTGGGGAGGGAGGAGGGGGAGAGAAAAGGAAGGAGAAGGGGAGGAGAAAGGTGGGAAGAGAGGAGAAAAGGGGGAAGTGGAGGAGGGGAAGGGAATTAGAGGAAATGGGGGAGAAGGGGAAGAGCAAAAAGAAGGAGAGGAGGAATAGGAGAGAGAGATCGGCAAAGGGAGGAGAAGAGGAGAAAGAGAAGGGCTAGGAGGCTGGAGGAGGGGCCTAGGGTTGAAGAAGGAGCAGGGGGAGGCCGTGGTCCGGGGTGCCCCTCCCCTCCCACCTGGGGCCGAGAAGTCCCCACTGCGGGGGTCCGAGGCGCTCATGGTGCAGACTCCGGGGGCTGCCTCCCTGGGTCTCCGTCTCTTCCTGGCTGCTCGTTGCAGCCCCCGCCTCTTCCTCCGCGGCTCCATCTGCTTCCTCCTCCCCGTCTCCCTCCTCCTCGCCCCTCCCTCTCCCTCCTCCTCCTTCTCCCCCTCTTACTCCTCCTCCTCTCCGGGACGCTGGAGCTACGCCCACCCCGGCCCCCAAGGAGCTCGGGCGCACCCAGATTGGCCAGCCGTGCAGCCCGGGCTTCCCGCAAGACTGCGGTTCTGAGCCAGCCCCAGACCTTTCTCCGGTCTGGCTGACCCAACATCGTGTGTCTCAGTTCCCTCCTTTGTTAAATGATGGCATAATAAGACTCCGCGGTCTCCCGGTCTATCCCAGTTCCAACTGCACGGTCCTGTGGTCCAAGCAGCCCCCTCCTTCTCTTGTCGTCTCAACTCTAAATCTGGGGGTGGGTATGCTTGCTCCTGGTTTCGGGTTTCCTTCCTTGTACTTTTTTTTAATCAAGGCCCAGCAAGCTCGCTGAGCTTGGCATAACAACAATCCTTTGCGCTCACCTCTGGTGAACTCAGCCGGAGCAGAACCCCAGTATTATTTCCACACCGGCCCCAGGTGGTCCCTGAGCTCACACCACCCGAAAGCCCCTGCGAGGAATCAAACTTGTCCAATTGTTGATGTTATGTATTATTATTGTTCTTGCATATTATTGCAATATGTAGTAAGATTTAGCCTCATAAAAGCAGGTTTCCTAGAGAAGTCAGCCTGCACGTATCTAGTTTCCATCCACTAACGGAATAAAGCAAGCTTTCTGCTTGTGCCCTCTGTTAGCGCTTTGTTTTTATTTTATTTCATTTCTTAGAGTTAACTGGTTGTGATAACCTGTGTGAGCTCTTTGGTATTTTCAGTTAACAATGGTTGCATAACGGCTGTGCTTTTTGGTCATTAGTTTTTAGACTTGACAGACCACTGGTTTCTCTCACCTTCTCCTACCTGCCCTTTTTTACACCTAGAAAAAGAAAAAGAAGAAACCAACCTCCACAGATGTTGACCACGTCGAAAAATATTTATCTCTGCGGCAGCTAGATGGCGCCGTGCATAGGACCACCGACCCTGAGGTCAGGAGGACCTGAGTTTAAATTCGGCCTCACACCAAACACTTGACACTTAGGTGTGTGACCGTGGGCAAGTCACTTGACCCCAATTGCCTAAAAATTTAAAAATGAAAAATTAAATATTTCTCCCAATCTGCACCTTGGGTCTGTCCCCAGTCAGTCAGGTCTCAGTATCCCTTGTTCTCTCCCTGTTTTGCCCCTTCTCCCCACTTCCCTTGCCCCCTTCCCTCTCCCTTTACCCTTTCTTTACCCCCTGTTCTCAATGAGAACCACATTCATTTTTTTTTTTTTGCTTTTTGGTGAGGCAATTCTTCATCCACATTCTTTAGCCATGCACTCAGCCTACAAGTTCTTCACTTAAAAACTCAATAAAAGCTTTAAATACAATTAGTTTCCCTTGTAATCCTGCATCACATTTTTCTGTTTTTCTGCACCAGCCTGCTCCAGGGGTCCAGGATACTAAGAAAGTAACACAGGTCTCTTTCCCCTTTCCACAAGAGGCTAACTCAACCAGGCCTTCTATGAATTTCTTTCCATTGCTGTATGTTTGGGGAAAAGAGGGGGTAAAAATTGGCCTGACACATAGTAAATTCCTCTATATGTAAGAGCCCTTTCAGGAAGGGAATCAGAGATTCAGGTGTCAGAACAGGCATGAGTGTGAAGAATGTGGCTTCTAAGAAAGGCAGTGATGTGGGGCCCTTTTACACAACTTAGAGCTTTCATTACAATGTCTTCCCTTGTTTGCTACTTCTCTGTTTTGCCTTATCTCCCCAACATTTTGTACTTCTGTGAGGGCAGTAGCAGAGTCCGTCCGTGTTTATTCATCACGACAGCATGTGCCATGACCAGACAGTAATTATTCAATTTCATATGAGGCTGGTTCTTTATAATTATTAGGTATTTTATATTATTATAATTGTTAAGTTTTTAAGTATCCATTGGTCCTCATAATTACCAAGGTAGAAATTACAGACAAATTAAGTTTTTTTTAATTATTAATTTAGTATAAGTGAATGAACTTAAATTATGTACTAAGAACTTAGCATGAACATTTCAATGTATTAATGCTGAACAAAAAAATTGTAAAGTGGGAAATTCTGTTCTGGCCAGAAACCCTGAGGGTGTTCTACTCCTAGATAGATTTTTTTTTCCTTTGAGTAGATAAAAGAGGCATTTTTTACCTCATTTCTTACCTAGCCTTAATCACTGAATGGGTGTTGACTCAGACCAACTGAGACACGGGAAAGACCTTAGCTTAAAAAGGCCCAGATGGCTCTGAAGGAGAGAGTGAGGGTGGTGACTTTGCACAGCCTCCATTACTTAAATCCAATTCACTTGCAAAGCATGACATCACCTCCCCTATGTCCTGGTCCTCTTGGAGAACAAAGGACAAACAACCCCCTTCTAAACCTTTCTGTTTTCTTGTTGTTCAGTCTTGTCTGACTCTTCTTGATCCCAGATGGGATACTGGAGTGGTTTGCCATTTCCTTCTCCAGCTCATTGTACAGATAAGGAAACTGAGGCAAGCGGGATGAAGTGTCTTGCCCAGGGTCAACAGCTAATAAGTATCTGAGGCCAGAGTTGAACTCAGAATCTTCCTGACTACAGGTTTAGTGCTCTAGCCACCAGCCCTTGGGAGTATTTTAAAATCTTTCAACCACTGCTCTTATCTTTTTTTTAAAAATTCCTATCACTACGCCACTCCCAACAGTCCCCTCCTTCCAAATTAAAGGCTGCCCTTGCAATTTATAAGTGTTGTCAAGCAGAACAAATTCATTCACACATTGACTCTCTCATGTGTACCTCATCTGGCACCAGATCTTTGTCAAGAGACAGAATGCACATACAGCCTAATTCTGTTTGTCTTTCTTAGAACTGCTGACAATAGCTAGCTTGGTACAGATTTGTTTCCCATTTGATTGTAAGCTCCTGGAGGGCAAGGACTGTCTTTTACTTCAGATTGTAGTGGCGGTTACTGGGTTGTGGTCCTTAGTTCTCTAAGAACCAAAATGACATCATATATATAAGTTTCAGTGTGTCCCACAGTGGCTGATTAGACCAATATGAGCTCAGAATGTTCTACCACAGGTCGGGCACAAACAGTCCAGGTGAACACCTGGGGTGGATTCTCTAAGTCTGCACATTTCACGTTTCTTTTGAGCTACTTCTGCTTCCCTCGTAGAATGTAGCACCTTCTCTGATGTGGTCATACCATGCAGGTTGGTCTTCCATGTCTCACAATCAACTCCAAAGTTCTTAAGAGAGACCTTGAGAGTGTCCCTGTGTGACTTTTTCTGACCACCATATGAGTGCTTGCCCTGTGAATTCTTAGTAAAATAGTCTTTTTGGCAAGCGTATGTTTGACGTTTGAACATGGCTGGCCTTATTATTGTTTATGGATTCATCAAATAAGGGGCAAGAGAGTCACATGAGGTTTCCATAAACACTTCTTCACTGAGAACTAGGGACCCAGGGTTTTAGCATAACCACACTGGAGCTCACCCAGTTTGAGTATTGTATTAGGCCATTACATAACCTTACTCCCTCCTCCCCAGCCACAGTCAAGGTGACTTCAGCTTTTCAGGGGCATGAGGTAGCACCTAAAAAACGTTCCTTGGTCAGTCAGCCGGAGGACCCAGTGGCTAACCTTCAGGCAAAACTCATCTCCGGAGAATTTTGCTGGACAAGGCAGATGCAGTTTCTCTGGTTTCTGGATGAATAGTTTGATAAGGCAGAGTAAGAAGCTTTGTCTCAGAGTACCGGAATAAGGTGGCCATTAGGGCTTATTTGGAAGGGTGTTTTATTTTACCCACGTGTTTTGAAGACGTACCAATGTCGCTTAAAATAACTTAGAGGGTAATCTCAGTTTCTAAGCCTTTCCTTTTAATATATGGACAACCTTCAAGGCCATTCAGATTAGATATTCTGTAACAAAAAATAACAATAAAAATTCCAAAATTCAGATATTAAATATTAATTAGGAAGGAAACAAGCATTTATTAAGCACCTACCATGTGCATAGGCATGGTACAAATATGATTTCATTTGATCCATACAAGAACCCTGTGAGATAGGTGCTATTATTATTCTGACTCTGCAGTTAAAGAAACTGAGGCAGATAGGGTTAAGTGACTTGCTAATAAGCCTCTGAGGCTGGACTTGAATTCAAGTCTTCCTGACTCCAGGTCCATTCCTCTTAATGACTTTGCCACCTAGCTGGGGATGATGCGGTTTAGGGGTTCAGGGGTGCTGGGACCCCAATATCACAATAAGCAGGTCCTGCCTGAAAGAATTCGACTCAGGCCTTCTTTCAGCCAAAGACAAGGTTTATTAGAACACTGTCATATTGGGCAGACTCTTTAAGGAGTGGCTAGATTATAAGAATCTAAGCAGTGACTAGATTTTAGGAATCTTAGCGTCTTAATGGAGACAAGATGGACGTTATATACAGAAAGCCTGTGGGAGGGATCTAGGAGTGGCTAAGTAGTTTGGGGTGACAGGAGGAGCAGCCTAAGGAGATCTGGATGGGAGGGGAAATGGCCAGGGGCCATAGGGAGGTGAAAGGCCAGTTGATGGGATTATAACCTCAGGAAAATGCCAGAGATTTAGCCATGTGGGAAAGTCTAGGGTTTTTCCTTTCTGGGACCCAGATCCCAACCTCATCAGGGATATTCGGCCAAATAAAAAGTTCCTGCCCCCATGGAGCAGGTCTAAAACATCAACAGAAATAAGCATTTCATAAACTGAGGAAGCAAAGAGCATGAACTGGACTAATAAGGGAAGGTTTAAGAAAGATGATGCCATCAAAGTTAGATCTAGAAGGTTTAGAATCTAGGGATTCTAAAAGGGGAAGTACATATGGACAGTGTTCTCCAAGCATAATAAACAGCTTAATCCAACAAATAGTGTGTAGATGGAATGTTAAGAAGGACAGCTGGGTGACACAGCAGATAGAGCACCGGGCCTGAAGTGAG